GGACCCCCCCTCCGTCCCGTCCCCCCCGTGCTCCCCCCGGGACCGGGCTCTCGGCTCTGTGCGCGGGGAGGAGGAGAGGCGAGAGGGCTCGGAGCGGCAAATGGGAGCCGCAGTCCCGGGCCGGTGTGCGGGACCGCTGCCTGCCCGCCCGGGGACCCCAGAGCACGCACCCAGCGCCCCGGCCCCGCGCCCGTCCCGCATGGAGCTGAGAGCAGGTAGGAGACCCCCCCGCCGAGCGGCACCGGCCCCGCACCGGCCCCGCACCGGCCCCGCCGCTGCCACTTTAACAAAAGCCGGGCGGGAGCCAGAACAGCACGGGGGGCGCAGCGAGGGAGAAAGCAGGGGGTCCCCCCTTCCTACTCGGCCAGCGGCACCCCGGGGGACCCCCCTCTTCCCTTCCCTCCCCTCCGCCTTCCGCAGCTCCGGGGCTCAGCTCCAGCCTCCCCACCTCTGCCCGGTGCCGGGACCCCGGGGATGGGGATGGGGAAAGGGGGGATAAAGCCGGGGCGGGGGGGAGAGGGAGGGAATGAATGGAGCCCGCTCTTGTGTACAATTGCATCAAATACGTTCTTGAAAGCAACCTGGTTCTGCTTAACACTTGAATTGGGTAAAAAAAAAAAAAAAAAAAAAAAAAATTTTTTTTTTATTCCTGCATTCCTGGACCCCAATCAAAAGAGCAAATCAAGGGAGGTGGAAGGGGGGAACGGCGGCGAGCGAGGCAGCCGGAGCGCGGTGCGAACCCTCCACACCCCAAAAACCCACCCAACCCGCCCCGGGATTTTTTTTTTTTTTTTCCACCTAACACCCGAGCGAGCCCAAACCAAAACAAATAGAGACCGAGGGAAAAAAAAAAAAAAAAAAAAAAAAAAAAAAAAAAAAAAACAAAAAAACAACAAAAAAAAACCAACCCAAAAAGAAAAAAAACCACCACCCAACCCTGAGCACGAGCGAAGCAGCGAGCCAGGGCTGAGGCGAGCGGGCGGGCTCGGGGAGCTGAGCAAGAGCCGAGCCCCCCAAAATCCCCCAGCACCCCGACTATGCTAAATGTAACCGGGGAGCTCTCAGGTAAGCCCGCGGCGCTGGGTGCGGGGCGGGGGGCTGCCCCAACTCCCCTGCCTGCATCTGCCGGGAGTTTTTTTCCCCTTTCCAAACCGACTGCTGATTTTAATTTGATGTGATTAAAACGTCTGTCTGGCTTTGGGATTGATTTAAGACTTTCCCCTCTCTAGGTTGGGTTGTTGTTCTTTTTTTTTTTTTTTCCCCTTTCTCTCGTTCCCTCTTTTCCATGCATGTTTGTGATTACCAGGGAGGGAACCGCCGCTGAGCACGGAGAATTAAACCCCGGGACCGACGGAGGGGAGGAAAAGGAAAGTCGGTGGGATTTATGGGGGGCAGGAAGAGTTAGTTTTCCTGCCCGGGGCTGGATTTCGGGGCTTGACACAGAACGCCGCCGCTGGAGCAGGCGACGTTCCTGCGGGACACAGCAGCGGGATTTTGGGGTGCTGGGGAGGGGACGGCTTTGTTCCCTCGGCCCCGGCGGCCACCGGCACCCCCGGGGCTGCCGCGGGCCGGCCGGCCTGGCGGCACACCGGCACCGGGGGCTCCTCGCCCGGAAAATGCTGGAAAACACCCTTAAAAGGTCAAAGTGTGGGCGCCGCCAGGCTCCCCGGGGTCCCGGGCGGCGGCACCGGGGCCGGGGCAGCACGAGGCGGGCGCCGGGTTGGGCTCCGGCTCCCGCGGTGCCGGCGTGACGCAGGACGGGCACGGCGGGGCGAGCGCCGGGGAACCGGAAAAGCGAGGCCGGGATCCCCGGCGGCTCCATCGCCCTTTCCTCTCCCCCTTCCCGCTGCCGCCGGGCCCGGCGGACGTGGCCGAGCCGGTGGCACGGCCGGTGCCGAGGCCTGCGGGGACGGGCGGGGAACGGGACGCCGAGGAGGAGCCGCGGCGCTGGAGCTCGGCCGCCACCACCCCGTTCCCCTTTTGGGGCATCCCCAGCCGTGGGCTGCCCGGGCCGTGTCTCGGGGACTCTCGGCATCCCCGGTGTCCCCGTGCCTATTTAGCAGGCGGCCGAGGGCACGGTGGCGGCCGCACATCTGGGCTGCATTAGGCGCAGGCTCCGCGGGGAAATGCGGAGGGCTCTGCTTACAGGGCCGCGCTGGGGGGAGATTTATGCCCTGCTAAGTGGCACCGAGCCCCGTAAATCATCCCCCCGCACCCCCCGGGGCTGCAGCACCACCGTGCCGGCACCGCCGTCCCAGCGTGGCGGCAGGCTCGTGGGGATGCACTCCTGGACGGGATATCTGGGATATCTGGGAAGCAGCTGGCCCGGCAGTGTTGTGGCTGCGTGTGGCACGTGGCCTGTGGGTGACAGACACGTCCCAGGCTTCGCCAGGGTGCTGTGGGGACATCAGGGCACGGCTGTGCCCACCAGGACTGCTGGTCCCACACTGACCCAGCCAGGCAGTGTCCCCGTGGCAGGCGATGCCAGCGGTGGCGGCGGGTCTGGAGGTGCCGGGGCGTGTCACCACGGCTCTGCGCTGCCACGTGGGCTGGCACCGGGGGTCCCCTGCCCCGCTGGAGAGCGGCCAGCCTGGCTCTGTGCCTGTGAGCCCCCAGCACGCTGCTGGGGGGGCTGCTGGGCTCTGCGGCTCCGTGACCTGCGCCGGGAGCGGCGGGAAGGGATCGAGGTGCCTCGTGAGGCTCCCGGTGCTGGGCGTGCGTGTGGGGCAGCGGGGTCTGGTTGGGATTAGGGGCCTGCGCTCCCCTCGCCGGCGGGGGTGTTTCCATCGTGCTGCTGGCTGGAGCCGGAGCTGGATGGGAAATCCAGGCCCAGCTAATTACGGCCTCACTGGAGTCTCCCGTGCGCGGCTGCATTTATAAACACACGGAGGAGACAGGATGTAAACACTCAGCGCCGCGAGCGCAGGCACGGCCCGGACCGGGGGGGACGCGGGGCCGTGTGCCCCCCGTGCCACCGCCCGCTCCTGGCACGGCGGCTTCGCCATGGGATGGATGGGATGAGATGGGATGGGGTGGATGGGATGGAGTGCGGTAGAATGGGATGGATGGGATGGGGACCCCACTGTGGTGGCCGCGGGTGCTGTTGAGGAACAAGGGCACACATGTTCTTCCTGTTGGAACTCAGGGAATGCTGTGTCTGTGCTATCTGGGTGTGGAACGTGAGCATCCTCGTGTCCCCACCGTGCTTGGCTCCACAGGGATGCTGCTGTGCTGCGGTGTCACCTCCCCAGACACAGCGGGGTTAAATGCCAGCAGCGTGGGGACGCGGAGGCGTCTGTCGTGAGCCCTTGAGTGTCATCCACTCAAGCCCCTCGGAGCTGGCGGCCACGCTGGGCTGAGAAACGCCCTGCGGAGGGTTAAGTGGTGCCACTTGGAGGCCAGGACAGTGGCTGGGGTAATGGGGACAGGGCTGCTTTGTCCTCTGTGCCGCAGTCATGCCTGGCCACCGCGAGACCTCCCGTGCTGGCCCCAGGAATGGGGCTGCGGGGTGGGATGGGGCTCTGCTCGCCGCTGGACGCCGGCCCATCAGATAGGGCAGCTCCCGCCGCGGCGTCGGGGGCCGGCTCGGCTCCGTCCTCTGCCGGGGGCTCCGGGGCCAGGGGGTCTCCCCTTCCCGGCTGCCGCCCCCGCCACCAGGGTTTCGGGAAAGCGGCTCCGGGCGGGCTGCGGTCGCTCAGCCCTCGGCGGCTCTGCCCACAGCATGCCCAGGGAACAGCTCACCGTCTCCGTGGCCGAATTCCTGCCTCGGCCACTGGCCGGGAGGTCTGGCCAGCACTGCCGCCTGCACTGCCGGGCGGGTGGCAGGCCAAGGGTCCCGGGTGTCACCCCAAAGGCGGGTGAGCCACGTCCCTGCTGCCACGTGTGCGTTGGGTGTCCGTGGCACCACCGGTGTGTCCGGCGTGGGTGCCCCAAGGTGCTGCCAGCAGAGCAGGGGGTGCCCGCTCCCGTGGCCCCCCGTCACCCCGGCTCCTCGGGTGTCCCCAGGGCCCAGCGGGTGACCCCGGGCAGGCACGCCATGAGCTGCTTACGTGGGCTGGGAGCATCCTGGCTGAGCTCCAGGGCCGGTTTTGAAACCCTCGGGCTCTTCCTCTCCGACGTCACCAGGATCCAGCTGTGCCGGCTGGAGCCTCCCTCCTCCACTGTCTGTGCCGGTGGGTGCCCGGCGCCAGCCGCTGGGACAGGGGTGGGCAGGGGACAGCGGGGGCACCCGCTGTGGCTGGGCCATTGTCACTACTGTGCCATAGTCACAGTCACTGCTGTGCCACTGTCGTCATCACTGCTCTGCCACGGTCACGGTCACTGCTGTGTCATGGCCACTGTCTCTGCTGTGCCCCAGTCACTGTCACTGCTGTGTCACGGTCACCCTCATTACTGTGCAGTGTCACTGTCACTGCTGTGTCATGGCCACTGTCTTTGCTGTGCCTCAGTCACTGTCTTTGCTGTGTCATGTGTGTCACGGTTACCATCAGTGCTCTGCCCCAGTCAGTGTCACTGCTGTGCCAGGGTCACCATTGTCACTGTGTCATGGTCACTACTGCCCAGCGCCATCCATTCTGTGCATCCCACCGTTCCCATCCCTCAGACACCCACCTCCATCCCCTTCCTCCATCATCCTCATCCTCGTGTCCGGGCCACCTGCCCAGGATCCACCGTGGCTCCATCCCAATCTCCCATCCCTGCCATCCCCCCTCATCCCGCTCCCCGGCTGTGTTTGGTTTGGCACCGGCCAGGCCGGGGCGGGTGTAAATCCCGCCTGGAAACCGGAGCCGGCGGCGGGCGAGGGTCCGGCCAAAGCAAACACCGGGAGGGGGGGTTGTGTGTGCTGTGAGTCACCGCGGCCCCCCCGCCGGCCCCCCCCGGCCCACGCTCGCACGCACGCGGGGCCGGCCGCACGCTCCGCGCCGGAACGCACCGGAACGCAGGCAAGCGGCGGCACGTGCCCACCGCGGGGCACCGGGCGAGCCGGGGCCGGCCGGGGCTGCCACGCACGGGGGACACGGGGGCGTCGCACGGGGTGTCACAGCGTGGTGTGGTGTGTGCACGGCGTGTCACACGTGGGTAGCATGTAACGGAGTGTCCCCCCCGATGGGGTATGTGCACGGCACGTTGCACACTTGTCTGGCATGTCCTGTGAGTGCCACACATGTCACATGCCCGTGTGGTAGGTGACACACCTGGATGGTGTCTCATGCGTGTGGTGCATCACACGTGTGCACGGTGTCACACGTGCATGGTGTCACACGCCTGGAAAGTGCGGTGTTCCCCACGCCTGTGTGATGCTCACACACAAAGTGCATCCCAGGTGTTCCCTGAACGTATCCCAGAGGTGTCACAAGTGTCCTGCACACCTCCGGGGTGTATCCCAGGTGTGACAGTGTCCTGCACACCCACAGGGCACTTGCACCCCCACAGCGAGGCTTGCAGTTTGCAGGACACCCGCGGCGGGGAGGCCCTTGTGGCCGGAGCCGGGGTGTCCCCGAGGACCGTCGTGCGTCACGGGCGGCCGGTGACGGGGAGCAGTGACGCGCGGGGGCGCGGGGGTTGCCCGCAGCAGGAGCCCCGCCGTGCCGAGCCGTGCCAGCGGCCGGTCTTTCCCGGGAGGCGCTGCCGGGAAGGCCGGCTGTGGCGAGCCGGGGGTGCCAGCTGGCCGGAGTGTCCTGGCCGCGGGCCGTGACCTTTGCGGAGCCGCCGGCCGGCGGGGCCGCGCTCCCGGGCCGCCCTGACGTCAGGCCGATGACGGGGACCCCGCCGCCGCTTTCCGGTGGCTCCGCAAAGGTCACCCCGCGCCCCGGCCGCTCCTCGGAGCCGCTTCCCCCCCGCATATTCCCGGTGGCGGGGGTCCCCGCTGGGTGCCGGGGCCGCTGCGGCGTTGGCGGTGCCCAAATATATCCCAGGCGTGTGTCCCGGCGGGAATGCCGCGGGCGCGCTGCTCCAGACCATATAAAGGATTGTTGGTGCAGCCGCGGGCGGGAGCGCTCCGAGGGGAGCCGGGGGGTCAGCGCGCTGAGGTCGGGGATCCCTGCTGCTCCCGGGGGGGTGCTGAGGTGAGAGGGACCCCACCCTCCCCACCTCCGTGCCTCACTTTCCCCTCGCTCACACGGGTGGCTCAGGGATAGTCTGCAGGCTCAGCGCCGCACACACGGAGACGGAGTGTCCCTGTCACCCCCCCCTGAGGCGCTGTGTGTCCCCCGCAGGTGACTCTTGGGGGATCTTCACCTTCCTGTGCGCCGCGCTTTGCAACCTGCCGGCGCTGCCGGCGCTGAACTGCTCCGAGGAGCTGGGCGCCGGCCAGTCCATCCAGCAGACGTACGACCTGACCCGCTACCTGGAGCACCAGCTCCGCACCCTCGCCGGCACCTACGTGAGTCCCCGACGCACCCCCCGGGACATCCACCCCGTGCCCAGCCGCTCCCACGCCGGAGGTCACGGAAATGCCTCATCGCCCCCGGGCGCAGGGCGGCTCCCGGGCACCCTCCCCTCGGCCCGTGATTCCGTCATGGGCGCGGGCATCCGCCTCTCCCTCCCCGCCGGCGTCGCCGACTCACCCGGAGGTTCCCCGTCCCTGCCCTGACGTGCCCTCGGCGGTGCCGGCACGTTCGGTGCCAAGCGGTGACGGTGGCACTGCCCGGGCTGTGCTGGAATGTCCGGCCCGGGCAGAGCCCGAGGGGGGGATGCGACAAGAGAAGGGAGAGCTGGGATGAGAGGGACGTGTCCGAACCGGGGGGCGTGGGGGACGCGGAGGCTGGGGACAGGGTGGACACGGAGACCTGACCCCTGGCACCGCCATTCCCTTCCAGCTGAACTACCTGGGCCCCCCCTTCAATGAGCCCGACTTCAACCCCCCGCGGCTGGCTCGCGCCGAGCGGGTGCCCAGCGCCACCGTGGACCTGGACCTGTGGCGGGGCCTGACGGACAACGCGCGCCTGGCCGCCAACTACCGGGCCTACAGCCGCCTGCTCTGCTACCTGCGCGTGCTGGACGGGCAGGTGGGCACGGCCGAGCTGCGCCACCGCCTCGCCCACTTCTGCGCCAGCCTCCAGGGGCTGGTGCTCAGCATCGGCGGCGTCATGTCCTCGCTGGGATACCCGCTGCCCGCCGGCCCCGCCGGGCCCCCCGCGCCCCCCGGCGCGCCCGCGGCCCCCAATGACTTCCTGAAGAAGATGGATGATTTCTGGCTGCTGAAGGAGCTGCAGACCTGGCTCTGGCGCTCGGCCAAGGACTTCAACCGCCTCAAGAAGAAGGTGCCGCCCGCCGTGGTCACCCTGCGGCTGGAGGCGAGGGGGTTCTGAGCACCTGCTGGGTGCCACCACGGCCACGCAGGTCCTCTCTTCCACCAGCAGCGTGCCTTGAGAAATGGGGCTCCTGACCCCCAAACCACCCCACAACCTCATCATCACCTGGCAGTGCCTTGAAGGATGGGGCTCCTGACATCACGTGTCACCACGGCCATCCTGCAGCCCCTCCGTCATCATCACACTGTGCCTTAAGGAACAGGGCTCCTGACCCCGAGTGCCACCACGGCCACCCCATGTTCCCTGTCCCCCACCAGTGTACTTCAAGAAATAGGGTTCCTGACTCCCAAGTGCCACCACAGCCACCTCACAATCCCACTTTCATCACTGTGCCTTAAGTGAGGGGCTCCTGACCCCAGGTGCGACCCACCACAGCCACCTCACATCCCCTCTGTCACCACACTCTGCTGTAAGGGATGCGTCTCCTGACCCCAAGTGCCACCAAAGCCACTCCATGTCCTCTCTTTGCCACCAGTGTCCCTTCAAAACTGTGTCTCCTAACCCCGGAGTGCTGCCAAAGCCACACCCCATCCTTATCATCACCCAGCTGTGCCTTAAGGGGTGGAGTTTCTCACCCCAAAGTGCCACCACAGTCACCCCACAGCTCCTCTGTCACTATACTGTGTCTTAAGGGACAGGTGTCCTGACTCCTAAGCGCCCCTCCATGGTGTCCCCAACCCCCAAGGTGCCTGTCCCCATCCCTAAAATCTCCAGTGGCCCAGCCCAAAAAGGACCAACGCCCTCTGAGCATAGGAATAAGCCTTGCCCCAGCCAGCAGCAAGCCCCGCCCCAGGAGCAATAGGCTCCGCCCCAGATGGCAATAAACCCCGCCCACTCGCCTGTGTAGCAAGCCCCGCCTCCTCCCTGCATCAGGCCCCGCCCCCTCCCCAAGCCCCGCCTCCCCCATGGGTGCCCATCGATGTTGGGGCGAGGCCATGGGGCGCGGCCGCTGTCCCGGTGCGTCTATGAGTGTTTATTTATTGGAGATGTTTATTTATTGGGGTATTTATTGCAGAAGATCTATTCTTGTATGAACGAATAAAAGCCTTTCTCCAGCCCCCCGCCCCGCCCGTGCCGCAGCCCGGTGGGGACCAGGGAGGACGGCTCCGTGTGGAATTTGGGATGTTCCCATCAGTGCCATCAGCAGGGTTCAGAGTGAACGGTTCCAAGCCGAGCTCAGTGTGGGAGCTGCGGTGTTCCGCTCTCTCACAGGGTGGGGATCCAGGCCCCCCTGGGCCCAGGGGGAGGACAGGCACCCCCCACCTTGGCGCTCCTCCCTGGGCACTACTTTGGGGTGCCCAGGATCATGCAGAATGTTCCGGGCTGGGGCAGGAAGCCGACGGCTTGCAGGGCGTGCAGCGAGGCTGTGTTTTGGGGCAGCACGGCGCAGTAGATGGGGAAGCCGCGGGCGTGCAGCTGCCGGCCCAGCTCGGCCAGCGGCAGCCCGGTGAGGCCGTGCCCGCGCCAGGCGGGCACCGTGTAGCCGTGGCGCAGGCAGCCCTGCCCGTCCAGCAGGCTCCAGGACACCGGGCGGCCGCGCCGGTCCAGCAGGCAGGCGGAGGGCAGCGTCCGCACCAGCCCCAGCAGGAAAGCCCGGCTGTGGGCATTGCCCCCCAGGGCCCACGTGGCATTGAGCAGAGGGACGTGGGATGGGGACACGGGTGCCAGGCGCAGGCCCGAGGGCATCCTGCAACAGGGCATGGCAGAGTGGGGAACGCTGAGCCCTGGTACCAGCTGGGATAGCAGATGGGATGGGATTGGGAACCCCTGTGCCACCCAGGAGTGTGCTCAGTGAACCCACTCATGCCACCCAGTGATCCCTGTGCCACTCAGGCAAGTGCTCAGGGACCCCTGTGCCACCCAAGGGTGTGCTCAGTGAACCCACTCATGTCACCCTGTGCCTCTCAGGGATGTGCCTGGGGACTCCTGTGCCACCAAGGGAGGTGACTATGACCCCCCAGTGCTACAAAGAAATGTGACAGGTCTCCGTGTGCCGCCCAGGATGTGACTGGTCCCTCAGTGCCCATGTGCCCCCAGTGTCCCATGTCCCCCCAGTGCCCCTCACTCACTGCCTGCGGGGCTGGGGGGGCTCGGGGCTCATCAGCGCCCGGTATCGGATCGTCTCCACCTTCAGTCCCCTGGCACTGGCCACCTCCTCCACAGCCTCGTCCAGCCCATCCTGCATCCCTGGGACACCCTGTCAGCCAGACAAGGGACCCAGATGGAGGGTAGAGGGGCCCTGTGTCCCCCCAGTGCCATCCTTACCCAGCATCTGGAAGGCTCTTTCCCGGGTCACCGCCTCAGTGCCCTCCAGCAGTGCCTGCAGGGCTCCTTTGTCCCGGTAGAACACAGACAGCTGGTTGGTGTAGTAGTCCCTGGGGTCCCTGTGGTCCTGGGAGGGACATGGAGCTGAGGGTAGCACCCCAATTCCCAGGCCCCTGGGGTGTGGGGTGCTGCTGCCAGGGCAGGGGCAGCCGGGGCAGCACCTCTGGGCGCAGGCGGGTCAGGACAATGCCGAAATTGGGCCAGGAGTCCACCAGCACCTCGTGGGAGGCCGGGTTTCCCCTGGCCACTGTCATCACAGTCCCCAAGACCTGCACGACAAGGTCATTGTAGGACAGAGCGGAGGGGACAAAGGGGTGCCCAGAGTCCCTCCGGTCCCCTCACCAGCAGGGGAGAGGGAGCAATGGAGTCCCCAGGGTCTCTGTCTGCAGCAGGGCAGGGGAGAGGGGACAGAGGGGTCCTTGTCACCAGCAGGGCAGGTGGGGAGGCGGAGGGGTCACAGGCAAGGCAGGGGAGAGGCATCAGGGGACAAGGGGCAGGGACAGGGACAAGGGGGTCTTGGGAACCAGCAGCACTGACAGGACAAGGGTGAGGGGACAAAGGAGTCCCCAAGATCCTCACCACCGGCAGAGAGGGAGGGAGGGAGGGAGGGAGGGACAGAGGGGTCCCCAAGGACTCTGTCACCAGCAGGACAGGGCAGAGGGGACAGAGGGATCCTCAGGGTGGCTGTCACCGGCAGGGTGGTGGGCAGGCTCTTCCGCAGGGTCTCCTCCAGGAGCTGCAGCTGGGCTGGGCACCTCAGGATCAGCATGGCTTCGTGATCGTGGGGCAGGTGGTGACACCGAGGATCCGTGGGGAGCTGGTGGCACTGGGGCGATGTCCCAGAGTGTCCCAGCCGAGCACCCGTCCTCAGGTGGCCACAGGGCTGGCCTGGTGCCCAGTGTTCAGCAGGATGGACCCTGCCCACTGCCCCCCAAGGCAGGGGGCACTCACTGGCCCGTGACAGCTGGTGGTGACCATTGTCACCGAGTGCCACACATTCTCCAGACTCCCACTCCACAGCCCCTCAGAACCCACAGACTCAGGACTGTTGCAGGGTGAGTGCTGGAGGAGATGGGGACCGTGGGGAAAGGGATGAGGACAGGGACAGGGGCCATGCCTGGTGGCCCTGTCCCCCTGCTACTGAGGGTCTCTCAGCAGGACAATGAAGATCCTGACGTGCTCAGCCCATCTGCAGCACCTGGAGGGGATCCTGATGAAGAGCCTGCCCATCGCTCTGCCGGTGATGGGGACCCCACTGTCACCCCTGCCCTGTGCCACGATAGGGACCCCAGTGCTACCCCCACCCTGCCAGTCGCAGGGACCCTGCTATCACCCCTGCACTGTCCCATGACTGGGACACCAGTGTCACTCATCTGTTGCTGTGATGGGGATCCCAATATCCCCCTTGCTGTGAGGGAGACCCCAATACCACCCCTGCCCTTTGCCCTGCTGGTGATGGGGACCCCCGTGTCACTAAGGACCCTTTTTGCTACCCTGTTCCCCACACCTGCCCCCCTCCCCTCAGCTCTGACCCCATATCTGCTCCCACACTCCCCCTAGCTCTGACCCCACATCTGCCCCCACTCCTGACCCCCATCTCTCCCCTCCTTGTCCCTCATTGCTGACCCCCTTTTCCCCCAGGTCTTCGGGGCAGTGCTGAACATCAACCGGGGCAACCCTGGCCAGTTTGAGGTGCTGGTGGACAAGTGGCCCGAATTTGGTGCCGTGCTGGCCCGGCCCAGTGGAGAGGTGGCCAGTGGGGACACGGGGCACTGCAGGAGGGGGGTGACACGGCGCCCTGGCACGTGCCAGGTGTGCTCAGAGCAGCCGTGGGTGCCCCCAGGTGCCGGCGAACGACGGCTACTGGAACACGCAGGCGGCATTCTACCGGGACCTGGGGGCGTACCGGGCACTGCTGGAGACCCCCGGCTGCCTGCGCTGGGACGCCGCCTTCACCCTCATCGGTGGCCTGGGGACACCAGGGACCTGGGCGGGGGGCCCTGGGGAAGGACTGGGCATGCTCTGGGCAGCACTGGGACTGTGGGACACCGGGGAGAGCTGTTGGAAGCAGGGAGGAACTGGTGGAGGGAATTGGGGGTGCTGGGGGACGCTGGGAACGGGTGCTGGGTGCTGGGGAGCACTGGAGGTGCTGATCACCAAATGACACACTGATTTGGTGTGCTGGTGTGGGGTTTGGTGGGTGATACCAGTGGGAAGTGTTGGGGTGGGATTTGGGGGTGCTGGGGAGCAGCAGGGAATTGCACTGCTGGGTACCCTGGAAGCAGGGTCCTGGGCGATACTGGGGTTGGACTTGGGGATGCTGGGGGCACTGGGAAGCATTGCAGCTGGATTTGTGGGTCCTTGGGGACACTGGGAGTACTGGGGTTGGACTTGGGGATGACAGGAGCAGGACTGGGGTACTGGACATACAGGAAGCAGGGATTTGGGTGCTGGGAATAGAGGCTGGGGCTGCAGGTAGCCCCTGGGGACACTGAGGAGAACACTGGGGTCATATAGGGGGGCTGGGGACAGGGATGATGGGGTACAAGGGGAACAGGACCCCCTGACATCCTCATCCCCAGGGCTACAGGATGGGCTGGCCACAGTGTCCCAGGACCTGGCAAGGAAGAAGGGTGTGGAGCTGGACATTGTCGAGTACTACTCCTACTGGCACCCTGACCCCAGCACCATGCCAGAGCCCCGGTGAGAGCCCCCCACCCTTGTCCCCACACGGGGACACCCCCGAGCCCCCCACTGACCCCTGCCTCGCCCAGGCCAGCCCCCGGGGTGCACGTGGGCTCCCTGAGCCCCTCGCACGTGGACCTTCTCAACGACACGTGGCCCTACGGGGGGAACGCCCGCAGCCGGCGCTTCCTGGCTGAGATTTTGGGGCGCTTCCCGCAAGTCTGCCTGCAGGACGGCAGCGGGCAGCCCGTCGCCTGGGTGCTGACGGATCATTTCGGGACAGGCACGCACAGCTACACCCTGCCCGAGCACCGGCGGCGCGGGCACATGCAGGTGGCACTGACGGTGGCGGCGCAGCGGGCACACGCCCGCGGGTTCCCCACGTTCGGGCACACGGCGCTGGGGAACCGGCCCATGCAGCAGCTGCAGGAGATGCTGGGCAACCGGCGCCTGCCCGGCGTCTGCCGCTACATCCTGCACAATCCCGGCCTGCACAGGGACGGGCCCTGAGGCCCTGCTGTCCCCTCTCTCAAATTAAACAGCGGTGTGGAGTCTCGGATGGCTGCTCTGGGGTTTTGTGTCCCCCCAGCAGTGACCGTTACGGCGGTGACACAGCTTGGTGGCTCACGTGTCACCGCTGAGGCACACAGCGCGGTCCCCTGGGAGTCACCCCGTTCCAGGGCACGCGCCTCGGTTATTCTCAGTTCCCCAAGGGAGGGCTGAAAGCCTCAGGCAAATTTGCACTGGTGGCACCTGCAGTGTTGCCCCCTGAACCAGGGCGCTGTCAGCACAGCTGGCGGTGGGACAGGCAGGCACCGGGGGGACAGACAGTGACACACAGGAGAGAGTGGGACAGGGCAGACAGTGACAGTCTCACAGCGTGAGTCATGGTTTGGGGGGCTGATGGGGACAGAGAGGGGAGTGACAGTGTCTGGGGTGGTGAGGAGTGCTGGGATGGGGGTGACAGTGTCCAGGCTGGCAGGGTGACAACGCCTGAGGTGATGGGGACAGTCACAGGGGTGACAATGCCAGAGGGTAGTGGGCACAACTGGGGGATGGCAGTGCCTGGGGTGACAGTCACTGACACGGGTGACAGTGCCAGGGGAACAAGGAACACTGGGATGGAGGTGACAGTGCCCTCGCAGTGACAGGAACTGCCGCGGGGTGACAGTGCGGCTTCTGGCAGGGACAACATGGGGAGGTGACAGCACCCGGGGACAGCCGGGAGGTGCCGAGGGCGGCGGGGGACCGGGACCACCGCGAGGGTGGCAGTGGCCGAAGGTGGCAGCGGCCGGGGCTGCCCATGGCCGGCTCCCCAGCCCGGCCCCGCCGCTTCCGCCCGGCCGTGGGCAGGGGCGGGTCCCTCCGCCGGTTCCCGGTAGCGGCGGGGCCCGCCCGGTTCCCGGTAGCGGCGGGGCCGTGCCAGCTCCATGTCGCGCAGGGCCATGGAGCAGCCCCGGCGCATCACCGACTCCTTCCCGCGGCGGCGGCGGCGGCGGGGCCCGGGGCGGCCCCCGGGCAGGCTCAAGGGCAGGAGGGACAAGGACCAGGACCAGGAGAAGGACAAGGTGCAGCTGAAGGTGCGGGACTGTCCCTGCGCCCCCTCGCAGCCCCCCGCGGACCCGGCGCTCATGGAGATGTTGCGGCGCTTCGACCTCTCCTGGGAATACGGACCCTCCACCGGTGAGCACTCCTGGTTCCCCCGGCTGTCCCGGTTGTCCCGGGGGCCCCGGGCTCCCCCCAGCCCCGCTGAGTCCCCGGTATCCTGCAGGGATCACCCGCCTGCAGCGCTGGGAGCGGGCACAAGAGCTGGGGCTGAGCCCCCCCGGCCCCATCCGTGAGGCCCTCCTGGAGCACCGGGACAACCCCGATGTCACCTACAGGTGGGGATGGCATGGGATATGGGATGGGATGGGATGGGATGGGATGGGGTGGGATGGGATGGGGTGGCAGGGTGGTTGGGGGGCACAGGGCGTGCTCTCCCGGTGCCCCCGCCCTTCCCGCTGACCCCGTTGTGTCCCCGCAGCCTGTGGCACGAGTACGAGCTGTGAGCCGCCGCGCCGAGGGAGTGGGGGAACCATTCCCGACGCCCCCAGACCCTGTTCCAGGGACGCTGGGTGGATTAAAGCTGGTGTGAGCGAAGGAAGGGGTGCCGTGTGCTGTCCGGGGTGGGGTGAAGCCCTTGGGGTGCAGGGGCAGGGCAGGGAGTTGCATTTCCCCCAAAAAAGCCAGGTGGGGTGTCCATCACGCAGTTTAATGCCACCCCGCTGGGACCCAGGCAGAAAAACGTGTGCTTGGGCGGAGAAAGGGAGGTGGGATATTTTTTCCCCAGGAATGGGGTGAAAAAACGAAGAATGAGGTATAAAACCAGGTGAAAAGTGAGCTCAGGGGGGTGAGCAGCTGGCTGTGGATGTCCTGCAGTGGGGTGGGAAGAGGGACAGTGTCCTGTGGGATGCATATGTTTAGTAGCCCTAATTAGCACCCTTCCTCTCTGCAGAATCATAAATAACAGGATGTGTTAATTATTCAGGTTATCAATGACTTAATTCACCAGCTCTTTTTGTTGTTTCATCAATAAAATTAATTGTTTCTATCTGTGGTGGGTCTAGCGTTGATTAAATGCTACTGCACCCACTAGAATATATTTAGTTATTTGATTGTTTTGGTGCTTTTTATTAGCTTTAATTTTGGGGATATGGATATTTATATGGTGGACATTTAGAGATATTTTTTTTATCTTGGCAGTGATGCCTTTTAATTTTTAGCAGTCTAAATTGGTTTTTTTTTTTATGCTGCTAATTAGTCTTTTAAAATTTTTCTAGCCACCCTCACAGAGTACTGGTTACTACTTATGAATTAGTGTAGAGGCAGAGTTCTGGCTGCTATGGAGCATTGGAGCCAGCAAGGGATAAGGTGGGATGGGGTGGGATGGGTGGGAGGCCACCCACAACTCCCATGCCCCTCGCCCTGCAGGCTCCCGACCCTCTGGATCGCATTATCCAGCTGGATCTGGTCCTGCTGTTGCAGCTCCAGTCCCTTGGATATCTTCTATGAGGACATAATTCTTCTGCGGGGCACAGGATGGAGGTGTTTAGATGGACCCCCAAAAAACACATCCCACACCCAGCCAATCCAGGGCTGTGCCCTCCTGGTGGGAAGAAGGAGAGAGATTCCCATGCTCCTTCCTTGGCAGAGGGTCAGTCCCAGCCTGGTGGGTATCCCAGGAAAGGGGAAGTGTCTGGGATGGCTCCAGCTGCAAGAACAGCCCTAGGAGATGGAGATGGACAGCCTCAGGGACAGTTTCCAGCCAGGAACTGCCTTCCCTTTGGAGGGTGGGTTTAGGTGGGATTTTGGGAAGAAATTCCTCCCTGTGAGGGTGGTGAGGCCATGGCACAGAGAAGCTGTGGCTGCCCCATCCCTGGCAGTGTCCAAGGCGTGGTTAGATGGAGCTGGAGCAACCTGGGCTAGTGGAAGGTGTCCTGTGGGTCAGGGGTGACACAACATGAAGGGACACCATGGTGGGAGGGGGCTGACACCATCTCACAGGGGAGCACCTGGCTTTCCGCTCCACCATGGCCACAGAGGCTCTCTGTGCGCTTCAGTCCTCCGCTGCTGGGCCTCGGGACTGCCACGGTCCCGTTTCCAGCACCAATTCCAGCCCGGATTCCAGCCCAGGCCTAGGCCGCGACGGTTGCCATGGCAACCCGGATGTTGTTCTTATCGCGCAAAGGCCGCCGGGAGTTGCAGTTTCCCCGTGCCGCACAAAATGGCGCCGCTGGGTCCCTGTGCCCGCTCGGTGTCCCCAGAGCGTTCACTCCGGTCCCTACTGACGGCAGGCCACCCTCCAGATGCTCAGGGTCACAAAGCCACCAGGGGCTGCCATTTCCACGCTTTATTGCCAGTGCAGGAGCGGTGTCGGTGTTTGTGCTCGTGGGGCTGGGGCAGAGGCACGTCCCAGCCCCAGCGTGCGGGCGGGGCGTGGGCGGGGCGTGCCGGCTCGCTGGCCACGCCCCCAGGCGAAGACCACGCCCCTTCCCTTGTTGCTATGTCAGTGAAGAGACGCTGTCCCTTGCCCCCCAAATTAAGGCGTGGGTTCACCCGTGTGGCCCTGGCCAGGTGCATGGGTGTGGCCCTGGGTGTGGCAATCACTGTGGGTGTGGTCACAAAAAGGGGCGGGGCCACCATCCAGGCTGGCCTGGCGCACCACCCCGCGCGGGCGGGACGAGGGTCGTGACCTCGGGGAGGGACCCTCTGCTTTCTCCGTGGCCTCAAACACCTGAGGGGGGACAGCGGGGTCATCGCATGCCGCTGCCACCCCACAGCTGGACCCCCATCCCGCCCTGACCCCTGCTCACCTCCCCGGCCAGGGGCTCCCCCAGCACCTCGAGGGGCTCGGGGGTCTCCAGCAGGCTGATGCTCCGCATGACGGAGCACAGGGAGATGCGGGGGCGCCGGGAGGCTCCCAGCAGCCCCCCACCAGCTGCCTCCTCCTCGGAGGGCTGCGGGGACGCCAGCGGGGAGGACAGCGGGGACAGGCCACTCGTGTGCCTCGCGGTGTCCTCCTCGGGCTGCGGCGCCTGCTCGGCCGCCCGGGGCTCCCACAGGCTGCTGTGCCGGCTGCCACAGACCTGTCAATCAGCACCCGGCCACGCCCCCTGCTGGGAGCCACGCCCACTGGGCAGGGTGGGGTTCCCATGGGCTCCTCCCCCACAGAATTTCCACACCTTTCCAGGAAGGGCACGGCCACAGAAGCCCCGCCCAGCCACCCAAAGGGGTGCGGTCACAACAGGCCCCACCCTCTTACCCCACGGGGGTGTGGTTATTCCAGGCCCCGCCCACCGGTCCCCACCCTGTCCCCACCCTGTCCCCACCCACCTGGCGCTCAGGATGCCCTGGTAGAAGTCGAGCTGGCGCATGAAGCCGGGGTTGGGCAGGACGCCGGGCCGGCAGTGCCGGACGTGCCGCAGCGCCCGCTCCAGGGGCCACCCGAACTCCTTCATGGCGTAGGCCAGCACCGTGGCGGCCGAGCGGCTCAGCCCCATCCGGCAGTGCACCAGCGCCCGGCCTCCCGCCGCCCTGCGGCACCCGCTGCTGGCACCATGGCACGGTGGCCCTCGGGGACACCGTGTCCCCAGGGCTCACAGCGTCCCCCAGCCGTCCCAGGATGCCCAGGGCTCCCAGCATCCTGCAGCCATCCCAGTGTCCCCAGAGCTCCCCACATCCCCACCCACCCCACTGCTCCCCAGGATCCCATGCCCCAGCACCTCAGCCATCAAGACCTCTCCCCATGTCCCCCTCTCCCCTGCCCCACCTGCAGCCCCTGTGCCCCGGTGTCCCTGTGGTGTCACCCCCGTGCCCACTGACCGGACGCGGGAGAGGAAGAGGAAAGTGTCGTTCCAGTGGGGCAGGAGCTCGGCCGCCTCCTCGTCGTACACCCGCACGTTCATGTACGTGAACAGCGCCGGGAAGAAGTTGTCGATCTCCCGCGCCACGTTCAGGATGTGGGTGACCCTGCGGTGACACGAGTGACACCCCAGGGGCGGCCCGTGGTGACCCCATGCCGCCCCACCACGGTGCCACCCCGTGCTCACCTATTCTGCTGCAGCTCCTCCAGGTTGGCTGCGTTCCACTCGGAGCCCTGCGTGGTGGTGACAGCGGTGAGGGGAGGGGACACTGCCACCCGCCCTGCCCAGCGTGCCCGCGCCGCTGCCCCACCAGGAAGAGGTGCGGGAAGACACGGGAAGGCCGATCCATCTGCGCCAGCACCAGCAGCATCTCGTTGTCAATGAAATCCTTGTGCTCAGCCAGGCTGTGCCCCGTGCGCCGCTCCAGCTCCTCCCGCACCTGGGCACCATGCCGGGTGAGGGACGGCCCTGCCCAGCCCATCCCGTCCCCAGGACACCCTGCCGCCCGGGTGCCACCCACCTCCTTGGACGTGACGTTCTCCAGGTCGGCGGTGGCCATCACCTCCCGCAGCAGCGCCCGCACCGCCTGCTCCGACAGCTCCGGCATGGCCGGCCTGGCACCGGTACCGCCCCGTCACTGGCGTCCCCTGCCCCACCCCGGCCACGCCCGGCCAGGCGCGGCAGCGATTGGCCAGCAGGCTGCGGGGTGTGGCAGGGGCGTGGCAGGGACCTTACCGGAGGGGCGTGGTGGGCGAGGCGGGGCGCACGGACTCGAGGTCGGCCATGGCCAGCCACTCGTTGAGGCAGCTCTGCTCCGAGCCCAGCGCCGCCGCGTAGCCGCGGGCCCAGGCCAGCGCGGGGCCGCCGGGGATGTGCCCGCCGCGGGCCGCGTCCTCGCAGGCGCGGTGCAGCTCCTGCAGCACGGCCCTGCCGCACAGCACCTGCCACCCCTGCGCTGCCACCGCCCCCCCGACGGATGTGTCCCCCTCGCTGGCTGCCCCCGGCGTGTGGGTGCCACCCAAAGCCTCCCCAGATCCTTCGCCGTGACTGTGCCCGTGCTGGTGCCCGTGGTGATACCCTGTGCCCACACCCCCGTGCCCAGGATGGTGACAGCACCCCTTGTGTCCCCAGCGGTGCCGCATCCCCCGTGTCTGCTGTGTGGCTGAGATCCCCTGTGCCCCTGGCAGTGCCCGTGTCCCCAGTCCCCGAGGTGGTGCCCATCCCCTTGTGCTCACCGTGCCACCCACAGCCCCGTGCCCAGCGTGGTCCCCACGCCCGCCGTGGTCACGCCCAGGCCTCGCTCACCACATGGTCTGCACAGAGATGGGCTTGAAGATGCGCGTCTGTCCCCCCGACGTCACGCTGAACCCCCTGGGCATCAGGGGGACACGCATGGGTCGGGGTGGGCACCCCGACCCCTCTAAGCCCCTCCCTGTCTCAAAATTCCGTCCCACCCTTACCCGTCGCCGTCGAGGAACACCTGGGTGTCGCTCCAGAGGGGCAGCACCATGCCCAGGGTGCAGCGGGTGGCCCTGGGGCGAGCAGAGGTCAGGGGGTGCCGACGCCTCCCCGGGCGCCCCCCGCACCCCGCTCACCCCTCGTGGGCGAAATCCACTCCCAGCAGCGCCGTCTCCGCCTCGGCTCCCGCCTCCTCCGGCCGCACCAGCAGCAGGTACCGCACCCGCCGCGGCCGCGCCGATTCCAGCCGCACCGCCTGCCGGAAAGGCGGGCATCGCAGCGGGGCTCTGCCCCTTCCCCGTGCTCCCGGTGACCGGGGAGCGGCACCAGGCTGGGCCATATCCCCTCCTCATCACCTCCCATTCCATCCCTATCCCCATCCCATCCCATCCCATCCCCATCCTTATCGCATTCCCATACCTTTCCTCAATGTTACTGTCCCCACCTTCATTCCATTCCCTATCCCCATCCCATCCCATCCCATCCCATCCCATCCCATCCCATCCCATCCCATCCCATCCAGTCCCCATCCCTATCGCATTCCCATACCTTTCCTCGATGTTACTGTCCCCACCTTCATTCCATCCCATCCCCATCCCCAGCCCAGCCCATCCTGTCTCATCCTGTCCATTTCCTCTCCCCATCTTGTCCCCATCCATAACCCATCCCCATCCTGTCCCCGCTCCTGACCCCATCCATCTCTTTCCCTGTCCGCATCCCATCCCCGTGC